TGGGAAGGGGCAGTGCAGGCAGGGAGTAGGATGTGGACCAGGTAGCTGGGAGCTGCTGCCAGGAAGAAGCGTTATTCCCAACAGAGAACACATCTCTCTGCAGCCCAGTGAATACAGAGGGGACCCCAGTACTGGCTGTTCCTGCCTCATTCCAACACTAACCTTGAACCAGGGTGCTGAATTTGCAATGGGTGGGATGGAGGTTAATGGTCACAACCAGGGAAACATGTAATTCCAAACTCAAAAGTACGTCCTCCAAAACAAGAAATTATCCATTCATTCTCTGTTAAAGTATCAAGGCACACACTCCTGACATCGAAATGAGCAGGAAGTTCTGTTGTTCCCTGGTTTCCTTCTTCACATGTGCCCTTGCAGACTCACAGGGTGGTGACAATTGTCCCTGCATCTTTCCTGTGTTCAGCTGCTGCCACCTCCTGGCAGGTGATGGTAATCAGGACATGGAGCCGGAGAGCCTAGTCCCACAGCTGACCAGGAGACAGGACTGGGCCTCCAGACTGGTGGGATCAAGGGCAGTACTGACCATTCTGTAACTCTGGGGGGACTGGGTAGTTGGGCAGACAGAGCTGCCTGAGTGTGAGGGGGACAAAGAGTTGGTATAGGACTGAGTGGGGAAAGAATGAGGCCTCAGCTGGGAGCACTGGAGGGGAGGGAATGGAATGTTCACAGGGAAAGGGCTGGATTCTGAAGAGGAAATGCTCAGGCGCACTGACTCAGCTGCAGCCACTAAGCAACTTGTGTGCTTCCTACTGGCCCTCATCTCACAGTCCCACTTCCAGGAATAAGACTCTCTCCTTATATCCACAAGCCCTCCCTCACCTGGGCTCCTTCGTGGTCCAGTGTACATGAACATGCTCTGGGTCCCTGACCTGCACTGCAAGGAGGAGGAGGGGAGGCTGAGTTCCCCCACAGACAGCCCAGCAGTGGTGTTCTGAGGGGTAAGGGTAGGGGGGAGTCAGGGAGGTCATCATCCAACCTTCTGGGTCTGGATTTGAAGTTCATGGCAGAGCCCAACATCACCTGCTTCCTCAGGTCCTCAAAGAACCTCCCTCACCACCACCCTGAGCAGACCTCCCCCTTGAGTGCCATCATTTGGACACTTTCTCCTTTCTATGGTGAAAGCAGCTTTCTGGCCCTTATGGAACATGTGACTCTTTGTGTACAGGGAGAGTAACAGAAATGGGCAGAGAACTTGTATTAGTGTTCACAGAAGATGGCCTAGCTGAAACTCTGAAAGCTTAAAATCCTAGGAGTGTCTACATAAAATCAACATTTTCAGATAAAACATGAAGGTGGCTTTCACCATTTCCTTAAGAGCACAACTGCCAAAAGGATATTAATGATTAACTAGACATATGTGCACCACAGTTAGTGATAAAATGAGGTTGTTTCTTTGTCCTTAAAAGAGCATTCCAGTGAATTATCTTCATGTTCACCACATAGAAAGGGATTACCTTTCAGTCACTATGTCTTCCCACCATCCTGATGCAGCTGGCTCTCTATAACTGTCATGACTGGAGAGAAATGATCCTTTCCTTTTGAATATCAAATACAAGACTAGAGGAAGTTCCTGACCCATCTCCCACAGCCAAATACCTGAGACCAAGTCTTTGGGGTACTAATGAATCCTGATGTCTACCTGTCTGCAAGGCACCCGCCTGGTGTGTCCTAAGCACCAACCCATTGCCCACAGTCACTAGAATCCTGCCAGCCAAGTTCGGCTTCATCCAAGTTCTTGGGACTTTATGGAGGCCAAATCCCTGCACCAAGGTACCCATACCATCACCTGCTCCTCCAGGGTGAAGGTCAGGAGCAGAAGTGAGGGTCCTGTGCCTGCTATTCCAGGCATGTGGCAGCCACCTAGGTTTGGAGGTACTTCCCAATGCATAGCTTCGATCCCACAACCCTAGCCCTATTCTACTGACAAAGAGTGTTTGGTCTGTTCCACACCAAGAGTGGAGTGTGGAACCTTAACCTCATTCTTCTAGTGCAGAAGGGCCCTTCCATGTCCTTGGGTCAGGCACTAGATCTGTAGGGCCTCCACCATCAGAGGAGCACCCAAACCTCAGTGTCAGGGAGACCGTGCTAAGTGCTCAGGAGCTCAAGGTTTGACCAGGAACTGCTCTTCTTCCAGAGGCCGCTGGTAATGAAGACCCAGATGCGAAAGGGGGTGGTCCTTTCCTTGTGCCGTGAGGGGTCTCTGAATAGAGGCCTTCACTCCTGAAAAGGAGAATGAGAAATAACCTGATATCTGTCTCCTTGATCCTTGTCTGCTGACCACCTCCTGTGGAACCACACCAGCCCGGGTCCCAATCCTCAGCTGGTTAAAGACTCAACTCCAGAGCCTTGGGCCTGACCTGAGTCTACAGTATTGGCCACAAATATGGACCATTGTCTGCCAAGGACCTCCACCTGCCAGGACCCCACAACCACCCAAAGATCCAGTCCTGCCAAGCACTCCTGTCTCAGCGACTTCCACCACCTGGGACTGCATCTCACCATCTCACCACCAGGGGTCACTGACCACCACTGGAGCACCTTTGCCAGCTCCACTGACAGGGCTGCCTACCTCCCAGACTCCTGTTCTGTGGAGCCCTCCAAGGAAAGGAGTTTGTTTGGAATCATGAGATCTCAGCCCCCTGCATCCAGTTCTGTACTTCCTGTGGGCACTCTGCTCCTCCCACATATCGATAGAATCCACTTTGGGGCCCCTCAAAAGAAGATTGGAAGCCACTTGTCATCTCCATCCAGTCCGCAGCTACAACACCTCCATGCCCTGTCCTCACATCCTCCTCAACACCTCAGCCCACCTTTGCCAACCCCAATGGCATCACACCCACCCGTGGCCTGTGTCCCCATCACACTAACCCCAACTCAGACCTCAGCTGCTGCAGCCACTTCCAGGTCAGTAAACTGAATTCACCCAACTTCCTGCCTCGGCCATCAAGGAGATAGGACTCACCACAGGGCTCCTCACCCATCTCTAGCACCTGGAGGCCCAAGACCTCTCGGCGAAACAAGGACCAGGCCAGACAGGACCCATTTAGATATGAACTATCCTCCTCTGCACACTGGAGACTGTTGTTATCAAAAGATTTGCCATCTCCCTGCCTGCCTCCTTCTTCCTGCCTTCTTCCTGGGGAGCAAACTTGCCAGAAAGACTCTTTCCCCACTGACCCCATTTGCATATGGACTGTCTCAGCCAACAGACACACAGAGAGGGTCTCCCTGAAATTGCCCCCGTGGACCAGACAGCCCACAGCCACGTGACCTTCCACCAACATCTTTGTTCCTAGTTCATGCTGGACACGACTCCCTTCACACCCTGGCACTGTAAGACCTTCTGAGACACCCATGCCAGGAAGTAGAGACCTGGCTGCTGGTATCTGGAGATAGAAGGTAGGTCCTCTTTCAGTCATCACCCAGCTTCCCCCTTTCTATCCCCAGAGTATTCTCTGTGGTCTTCCTCCTGGGACTAAATCCAACCTTTTCAGAGAACACAGGGAAGAACCAGTGCCCAGCTGGGTTAAGTGTTTCAAATGAAAAAAAAAAAAAATCCCCAGGTTAGGGGGCCACAGGGACTACCTGAATGGTGCTGACAGACTCAAGACCACGAAAAAGCAGAGGCCAGTTCTGGAATGAGGGGGACATCCTCTCAGGTGAAGGGGTCTACATGAGTCTTGCTACTACAATTCTGCTCCGATGCTCTCATAATTTTTAAACTAACAAATTTAGATGTTTACCAAAAAGTGAAAGGCTCTCACAGGATTTTCACTTCTGTGTTTTGTGGACTGCTGTAGGCCCACATACAATGCTTGGGAGAGCAGCATAAGCTGAATAAATGTGTGATAAATGACACACACAAAAAAGAGGAAAGACAAGGGGCTCCACAGGCCAGTGAGATCCACCTCCTGTTGAGTCAGAATCTGCATTTGTCTTTGGCTCTTTTGTTGTTGTTGTTGTTGTTTGTAACTAATTGATTTTAGATGGGAAGAGAGTGAAAGAGAAACATTGATTTGTTATCCCATTTATTTATGCATTTATTCTTTGATCCTTGCAGGTGCCCTGACCTGGGATCAAACAGGCAGCTTTGGCATGTCAGGAGGAAGCTCTAACCAACTGAGCTCTCCAGCCAGGACTCTCAGAATCTGCCTTTGACCAGGATCAGGGACACTCCTGTGCACATGAAGGGGTGAGGTTACTCCACCCCCAGTTCACAGGATCTCAGCCTGGTGGGCATCCACATTAGCTGGGCAGCTGATAAGCAGCATTTCTACAGTGTCCTGTAGGCATCCAATCTTTACCACCTTCCATAGGTTATCCCTGTGGAAGGCTCAAGGGGGAGCTACTGTGCAGGCAGCTTGAGCTGTAGGGAATTCTGCCACCACCCCCCACCTCCAAGTCCAAGACTCAAGCTCATCTCAAAAGATAATGCACCTCTGGAGGTGTGGGTGGGATGGAGAATCAAAGAGGGGAAAAAAGGCCTCAGCAATTCCCAGAATCTGGCTTTTATTTTTTTAATCTTTCTCAATTACTATTTATTTTTATTTTTTTAATTTAAAAAATCTTTATTGTTCATATTATTACAAATGTTCCTCACTTTTTCCCCCCCATCTATTGCTCCCCTCCCACCAGGTTCCCACCCCACCCTCTGCCCTTTCCCCACCCCCCATTGTCCTCATCCATAGGTGCACAGTTTATGTTCAGGCTCTTCCCGCACCCCCCACTCCCCTTCTGTTTACTTCCCTTCCATGCCTCTGAAAGGTGACCAGGAAGGTGAGAGAGGGAAGACCTGAAAAGGGAGGAAGAGGAGGGAGGGTCCTGGGAACAGACCCCGCCCTTTGCCCATGTGACCAAGGAAGTGATCTTGTCCCTAGAGGAGGCTCAGCAGGTCCCACTAGTAGAGAGAGCAGGGCCTGTGAGTGAGTGTTTCTGAACCTCAAGCCCTTCTCACAGAGGGAAGGACACAACAGACAGACGCCATGGAGTCCTCCTCATCCCCTGCCCACAGAGGATGCATCTTCCCGCAGGGGCTCCTGCTGACTGGTAAGGAGGGGAGACAATCCCTGGGGTGGACAAGAGGAGGAGAGACAGAGACTGGCTGTGGTCTTCTGGGGAGCACAGAGCTCTGAGAGGGGACAGAGGGCTTCTGTTTGGACCTGAGGGGACAGGACAGGGGAGCTGAGTAGATTGGGGGAGGGGGCTCAGCATCTGTACAATCCTATGATCTGGAGCTGGTGAGGGGCAGGAAAACCTCAATTATGGTTTTATAAGTTATTTATCACTGAGAAATAATTTCTGAAAGCTGGTGATAATAACATCAACTTGTGTCAGAGTGAGAGGAGAAAAAATGAACCAGGGTCACTAAGCATTGTCTTTACCACCAGCCTCAGTAATGGGCTCATGCAGCCCAGGGGGTGCAGGACCCAGGGAGCACACAGGCACCTCAGCCTGCTGCGGGCCCTGGGGGTACAACAGAGCAGTCAAGCTCCTTCCCCCATGGAGCTCACCTTCTCTGGAGAGGAGACAAACAAGGAAAGATCTAGATGTGATGTCAGGTCCCCACAAGTGCCATGAGGAGAACAGAACAGGGTTAGGTCAGAAGTAGAGACACATGTCTTTAGTGTCAACAAGGGTCTGAGCAGTGCCTGTGAGCATTTCTGGACCTCAGGCAGCCACTTGAGAATTTATAAGAAGGAAATAAGGCTAGAGGTGCTGAAGTCATGGTGGCCATGCTGCTGGACTTGACCATAGGAAATACACACACACACACACACACACACACACACACACACACACACACACACACACACCAAGGCTGAGAGATAAACAGACCTTGTCAGGACCCAAGGCTGCAAATATTGATCTACTTCTCTCTTCCCTCCTAGCCTCACTCCTAATCTTCTGGAGCTTGCCCACCACTGCCCAGCTCACTATTGAATCAGTGCCCCCCAATGCTGCCGAAGGGAAGGATGTGCTTCTTCGTGTCCACAATCTGCCTGGAGATGTATTGGTCTTTTTCTGGTACAAAGGGGAAAGGGTGAACAGCAACCTTCAAATTGTATCATATATAGCACACACTCAAGCAATTAACCGCGGGCCTGCAAGCAGCAATCGAGAGACAATATACCCCAATGGATCCCTGCTTTTCCAGAAAGTCACCCTGCAGGACACAGGATACTACACCCTAGAAGCCATAGACAAAAATTTTCAGAACAAACAAGTAACTGGATATCTCCGTGTATACCGTGAGTGATTGCTCTCTGTCCTCTGGGTGTTGGGTGGGGCATATTCTACTTCACACACAGGACTGACAGCCCTGGACTCACTCTGCCTCATCTTCCTCTGCCTCACATTCCAGTTTGGGTTTGGGCATTTAGTGCTTCACAGTGGAGACAAACTTCCTTAGGTCAAAACTTCCCTTCCCATATTCCAACCCTGCAGACACTTGCCACAGAGAGAAGAGGGGAGTGTCTCAGCAACAAGAGACCAGTCTCATCCAGGCCCCTGGGCCCCTCTCAACCATGACCTAGAGAACTACCCTGCAGGGCTCATGCAGGGCCTGGCCTGGGGAACTCTGTGATCCTCACACAGAAATTCAACCCAGGCAGCCCCTCCCCCAGACCTCTGTCCCAGGGATCACGACTCCAGGAATCCCAAGGAGCCTCTGGGCAGAAGGGTTTGATCTGTGGGCAGGCCTGACTTGCAGCAACAATTTCCCAGGTGCCCAAGTCACAAGCTTTCTGAGGTGGTCACCAGCCAGGGCTCAGCCTCAGGAGCCACATCTGGGGAGGGATGGAGCCTGCTCCTTCACCTAAGACCATGCGTGAGGATTATGTGGACAAGGCCACAAGCCATTAGCCAACTGCCTGGGGAACATTGGAAGGAAGAGGAAGATAGTCTCCCCAGGGAAGAAAAGAGAAGTTGTTCCTCAAAGCTCTTAGTCCACCAGGGATCTGTGCAGGGCATCCTCTCTCATGACACAAATAATAACAGAGGCTGTTAACTTTGGCAGCTCCTTTATTCTAAGCTTTAGGTTAGGAAATTATGAAAGATTCGAGGTTCATTCACAGGCAGCATGGCAAACCTGAGACCATTTTACCATTTATCCTGTTTTATTCAGGGAAAACTGAGTTACAGTCACTCAATCAGAATCACACAGACTGTGACTGACCAATGTGAGTCATGCCAAGGCCTTTCCTCCACTCCAAGGGCCTTATCATGCTCTTCACCACTGACTCGTGACTCACATCCTCATCCTGGTGTGAGGCACCCATTCCTCCCAGTGGCTCCTGAGACCTTTCCCAGGTGGGGCCTCGTGACCCTTCACCATCTGACTGCTTCACTGCCTGTTTAATACACATGTGTCCAGATGGTGAGATGCACCAGCCACTCTACTTCCTCTTAGACTCTGCCCAATTTAAATGAATTTCACTAAACTTCAGATGTTTCCTGAGTTAGAAAGAAAAGGAGGTGCACATGCCACATGCCATATAGGGCCTCCTCATCTGCCTGACAGGGAGGGACGTTCTTCCATAGAAATAGGGAGGAGCCTTTTCCCTAGCTTTACTAACATGGAACATGTCCTTTCTACCAATCTGGTTCCATCCCTCCTTTTATGCAGCAGAGACAGCTGGACACTCACCCCTGGTCACTTCTGTTCTCTTAGCAGGACTCACCTTCTCTCTATCCCAGGGAGTCCCTCATATCAAACACACTGTGGCATCTTCTCGTGTGACCTGATTGGATGGCAGAACTTGGTCTATGACCTTCATGCTCTCACGACAGATATTCCTCCCAAAAAATGGCATTAGATCTTTGGGGCATTTTGATTTTCACATATTCTCTCACAGTTCAATTCAAAATCTCTCTCATAACTGCCAAACACGAATGGACCATGAGGGCCATATCTTCAGCAAGTTCATGCTCCCCCATCTCCACAAGTCACCCTTCTATACATGCTATTGTCTGTGTGTTGAGGAAGGATCCCTGCCCTCTGCAGTGGCAGAAAGGACATTACAGACCAAAGGCAGAGAGCATGGCTTTGCTGCCACCGCCAGTCAGCTCCCCTGTCCCTCACTCTTTTCTAAATCATTCCTGGACTTTACTCTACTCTTCCTGGGGCCACTGTCTCATGTCAGTCACCAGTGAACTCCTGTGCAGATGGTCCCACCTCATGACCCAACAACCTGAGTACTGAACTTACAGCCAGACTTGCTTCTGGTCTTCCATGTACCGTTTCTGCTCAGACACCAAGTTCCAGGCCACACTGCCCAGTCCTCTAGGGGATTAAGGACTATTGGATGGCCCATCATTACTCATCTCTAGGTTAACCCTGAAATGTGAGACTTCAGTGAAAGTAATGTAGGTCTGTGTAGCTGGAAGGGACTCAGCAGCTGCACATTCTAGGTGAGACCCCAAGTCACCCAGGCAGTCAGCTGGTCAGTGAGGAACTAGGTCAGGTGCTGGGTGGTCTCTGACTCCCATTCTTGTGTCTTTCTGTGATCAAACCCTGATATTTGTCTGACACCTGAGAAAGCCTATGCTTTTTCCCCCAGAATCAGAGCAGGCAGCCTTAAATTCTCTGAGTGCTCAGATCCTCATGCATTTGTTTGTCTTGTGATGCACAGACCTGCCTTATTCTTTTAAAAACTCAGGTTGGCTGAGAGGTAAAAGTTGTCAACTCTGATGAAAGAAGCTTTGGGATGAAGCCAAGGTACCACACAGGGCAGTGCTTTCTCTGTTACCTGCACAGAGGATTTCCCCAAACCCAGCATCACAAGCAACAACTACAAGCATTGAGACAAGGACTCAGTTGTGTTAATGTGTGAACCTCAGGCTCAGGACACCACCTACCTGTGGTTGATCAACAGTTAGGGTCTCCTGGTCAGTGCCATTCTGCAGCTGTCCAAGGACAATAGGACTCTCGCTTTACTCCTTGTCACAAAGAATGACACAGGATCCTAAGAGTGAGAAACACAGAACCCCGTACGTGCAGGCCGCAGTGACCCATTCACCCTGAATGTTTTCTGTGAATAACTTCTGTGCCTGCCTGGGCAAGGCTGTCCACCCAAATCTACACTGCCAGAGGCCAGGCTACATGTGTTCTTTTCAGGTCCACATATACAGACACGAACTCCAAAACCCAGGGTGGCCAGTAGTTCCTATACTAGGCACATCTGGGCAGATCTTGGGACAGTTCAAACAAGTTTATGTCTCAGGTTCAGGTTCAGTAAGTACAGGAGGTTATGGTTGGGTCTTTTTTTTAAGATATATTTATATTTATTGATTTCAGAGAGGTGGGTAGAGGGAGAGAGATAGAAGCATTAATGATGAAACAGAATCATTGATTGGCTGCCTTCTACACATCCCACTGGGAATACAGCCCGGAGTGCAGGCATGTTCCCTGACTGGGAATTGAACCGTCAATGCTCAGTCACTGAGCCACCCCGGCTGGGCTGGGACAGACTTTTTAAAACTAGGCTGGGTGTGTGGTTGCTGTAGGGTGTAGGAGGTTAATGGAGAACATCGTATCTAAGGAAAGAGTAATATACAAATTGACCATCACTCCAATACACAACATGACTGCCCCCATGTGGACACAAGATGGCCAGCAGGGGAGGGCAGTTTGTGGGACCAGGCCTGCAGTGGAGGGAAGTTTGGGGGAACCAGGCCTGCAGGGGAGGGCAGTTGGGGCAGGGGGCAGACCTGAGGGGAGGGAAGTTGAGAGCAATCAGACCTGCAGTGGAGGGCAGTTGGGGGAAACCAGTCCTGCAAGGTAGAGAAGTTAGGGGTGACCAGGCCAGCAGGGGAGGGCAGTTTGGGGGAAAGAAGCCAGCAGGGGAGGGCAGTTGAGAAGGACCAGGCCTGAAGGGGAGTGCAGTTGTGGAGAACCAGGCCAGCAGCAGGGTAAAGCAGTTAGGTGTGACCAGACTGGCAGGTGAGGACAGTTCGGGGTGACCAGACTGGCATGGGAGGGCAGTTAGAGGCAATCAAGCCATCAGGTGAGCAGTTAGGCATGGATCAGGCTGGAAGGGGAGTGATTGGAGTGATTGGGCTTGCAGGCAGAAGTGGCTAGAGGCAATCAAGCAGGAAGGCAGGTAATTGGTTGGAAGCCAGAGGTCCTAGATTGTGAGAGGGATGTCTGAGATTGGAGGTGGTGCAGGCTGGGCTGAGGAACACATACCCCCATGCACAATTTTGTGCACTGGGCCTCTAGTTTATAATATTTTCAATAGTAAAGATAAATTTGTATGAATATACTGTGAAGTGGAAGTTTCAGGATAGCTAAAGTTGGCCACCAGCATTTCATCTTTTTGTTTGGAGGGATAGAAAGAGTTGTATGTGGGATTCAGAGCATTCTGCACATAAACAGCCATTGCTTCAGAGGAGGGCAGTTGTTCTAACTCATTTTATAACTGCTCTCAGAGCAGAAATACTTGGCAGTGATGGTATCTACTCAGAAGGCAAGATCACTGAAAAAGTGTCAACGGGCAGGTCATTCTCTGTATTTTGGTAGCAAAGTCAAATAGTAGAAACATGCATTTGGGTAGAGATTTCTTATATAAAATGCATCCCAATAGTTGTTTCATTTATTGCAAATTGTAAAATGCATCTATCAAAAAGTTGCATACATATGAAAATTTTTTCATATTTTACTCCAATAAGGAAAAATCATTAATTTCACATTCACAGGAGTGTTAGGAAGTCTCCTTTAGACCCCAGAAAGAATTTGTGCAAGCAGTCTGCATAAAACTTATGTAATTCAAATTGATTGTTAGTGTGAGTTGAATTGGATCTAAAAACAAAAAACAAACAAATAAACAAATGGTCTGAAAACCAGCTCAAAGGGAGAGTGAGGCCCTTCCAAAACCAGGAGCTTCCTCTTCCCTCTGATTACATCATGTGTGGCTTTCTCCTCTTTGCTCCAGATGGCCCTGACCCCACACCACCAACTCCCCCTCAGAGGACCCTTACTTACCAGGAGCAAACCTCAGCCTCTCCTGCCACTCGATCTCTAACCTGCATAGAGTATTCTTAGTATATCGTTGGGAGGCCCAGCAAGCCACACAGGAGCATTTTATCCCCAACATCCCTGCAGGTGATAGTGGATACTATAATTGCCTCACCCAGAACTCTGTCACTCATCCCTAGAGGACCAGGGTCAAGACTCTCAGAGTCTGTGGTAAGTGCCTCTTACATTATTAGGACCAGGCTGTGGGGTACAGCCCTTCTGGTTTTCAGAATA